CACCCTTTGCACCCCCTCTACCTCCCCATTTTACCCCGGTTACATTGCTATTGCACCCCTCTCATCTCCTCATTTCACCCCCTTGCACCTCTCGCTGCGCCCTATAGCACCCCCTCACCCATTGCACCCCCATTACACCACTCTTTACACAGCCGTTCCCCAACTTGCGTGCCCACCCCATGTCCCCAGCCCCATTCAGCCATTCCCGGTCCTGAACCCTCCCCAGGGGACCACCAGCCCATGGGTGTCGGAGGCGCAGTCACATTCTGGGGCTGCAGAAAGGCCCCAGGGACTTTTGGCAGCACAGAACCCGGCACTGGATTCTCCTGGAAAAACGTTGAGGCTGGGGGGGGCACTGGGATGTCGAGATATTTTGTCTTTTGACATCTCCAATATTTTTTCCCCCAAGGCTGCCACGGCCCCCCGCATCCCACCCACGCGGCTGGCCCTGCACCACTTCGATGTGAACTACAGCCTGCAGCTGAAGGACCTGTGGCCCTCTGTCCGCGCCGGCCTGCTCTGCGAGCAGAAGTACGGCGCCCTCCTCAACAACTTCTCTCCTGTCGACCATGTTGCCCGGGAGCTGGAGCTGCAGAATGCCACTGATTTTGTTTCTGAAGCCCCCAAAAAGGCACAGCGATCGCAGCGGGGTGCAGCTGCGGAGGAAGCGGGTAGAGGGGAAAGCAGGTTCCAGGAGGGGTCTGGCGAGGGCAGGACAGTGATGCAGGCAGAGACGATGACGCAGGCAGAGATGTCACCACTGCTTTGTGCCTCCGTCAGCTCCAACATCAAGTGTTACACCTTCCCCAGGGGCGACATCACGCGCTTTCGCCCTGCACGGTGAGACATCCCCTAGGACAGACCCCCGGCTGTCATTGCCAGCCTCGGGGGCTGCACGTGTGTGAGCAGCCGCCGCTTCTGTACGTCCCCATCCTCACTTCCAGCTGCTGTTTTCTTTTCCCCTTGCACCTTTGCTTTTTTTACGCAAACTGGTGATTTCCAGGCCGGACACGCTGGGGCTCCTCGACTATTATCTCATGGACGCAGCATCTCTCCTGCCCGTCCTGGCGCTCAACGTGCAGCCGGATGACTTTGTCCTCGACCTCTGTGCGGCTCCGGGTGGCAAGACTCTGGCTCTGCTGCAGACTGGGGTTTGTGGTAAGTGGAGGTGGGTGTCCCATGTCCCTGTGCTTAAAACAGGGCTGCACGAGTGTGCTGTCCCCATTAATGTCTGACCGTTAATCATTTCTGGTTATAAGAGTTGGGCATCGGTTGTCTTTTTGCAAGAGTGACATTCCCAGTGTGCCTGTTCTGTCCTCTCAGGGCATCTGGCAGCCAACGACATCTCCATTTCCCGGACAAAGAGGCTGTACCAGATTCTCCATAGCTACGTTCCCAAAGAAATCAGGGAAACTGTGAGTGTCACGTCCTGCGACGGAAGGGACTGGGAGCAGCTGGAAGGTGGCACTTTCCATAAGGTAGGTGATTGGGAGCCGGTGAAGATAAACCCATCTAGTTCACTTTCCTCCTGTTTCAGAGGAAGACAGCAGCTTATCCTACAGTATAATTGTATAGTTTTCCATAATCTTAAATGCAGAGAAAGAGAGAAGACTAAGCCACATATGGAGTAATATTTCCTCCTGCTATACCCTTCCTGCAGGATCCGGTGCATATGGGCATTTGGAGTTGCACCTTTATTTACCTGTGTAATACCCCTTAAAATCCTGTTCTAATCCATCACCTGGAAGGGGTTAAATGTGAAGATTAGATAATTCTTGTTTCTCAGCCGTGTCCAGCCACGGCAGCTGGGTTTGTTACACCAGGAGGCGTCACTGCAGGAGCTCTGGCCGTGCATGGTTGCAGCCGTAGGCGCTGCAATAACGCCTACCAGGAAGACACACGGAGTAGAAACGTTAAATGAGGACACGTGTGAGAGCGTGATGTTATCCACCATTTCTGTGTCTATTTACACATTCCCAAAATGCAAAAGCAGCCAGACAAGTTACAGTTCAGTGTGGGTGCAGACCTGCGCTCGGGCAGGACCAGTTAGGCAAGGTACTGAGGAGTGGAGGGGTTGGGCAAGGGCCAGGTTGCACTAGGAGACTCGCTGAGCTTGACCTGGGCCCAGGACTGATGCAGGACCTCTGCTGCTGCAGGTGCTGGTGGATGTGCCCTGCACGACGGATAGGCACTCTGTCATGGAGGACGACAACAACATCTTCCACAGAAGACGAACCAAGGAGCGTCAGATGATGCCCATGCTGCAGCTGCAGCTGCTGATGTGAGTGAGCTCGATGCTGTGTTTTGACGCTATTTGCATTACGGTAGCAGCTCTCCATGGCCAGCGCTGAAACCTCTTCTTACTTTATGTGTCCCTGACTGGGAAATGTGGAAACCATGTGTAGTTTTCTGGAATGGCAATAGCTGAACACATCAAATCACAGTAAGGGTAAGAAGCTGCAAATGTTCTCAGTCAGATCAAATGTCCTTCCTGTCCCCAGCAGTAGCTATAGGGGGTAGGGAGGAGGTTCTAAGGAACAGGATGGGTATAGTGTTGTCCTGTGTGATGATCTCCCGGGTCCTGGCGGTCAGCCCTGGAGGATTCCCGAGTGTCCACATCTCCTGGCACATGGGAGGACATGGGGGCGCTTTGTCACCCCATTTCGCTGGGAAGGCTGGATGGGCTGACTGTGAGCTGGGGCAATAAGGAAACAGATTAGAGTCCCATGGCAGCGCTTGAACTGCGAGAGCCTCTTCCCCTGTACATACTCTTATCCCATTCCCTTGGGGGTGAGTGCAGGATTACTCCTTCCAGCTGCTCTCCAGTAGCATCTCTCTGTCGGAGTTTCCCCTTGTTCAGTGTCGACGGCGGAGCGGGAGTTGCGATTCCGGAGTAATGACGGATCCCAATATGAGTATGGTCATTCGCCTTTATTCATGCATATAACAGGGTTTATATAGTTATCTACTATAGGCACCATAACAACCTATGGTTGGTTAATTACAGCTGTACACGCGCTCAATTATAAGCTATGATTGGGTTAAAGTTACTGTCCACGCGCTTATTGCTTCTACTCGATTGGCGGTTGGCAGCAGGACATGTTAGCCGCTTACTTCATCTCCTAGATACAGTTTCGTTACAGTTGTTTACCCGGCCCCATTGTTCTTTGTTCTGTCCGGGAAAGTCCCGGTGGTCATCCTGCTGTGTTAGCATGTCTTAGTTACTTTTTGATACATGGGTTGCTCAGCGATACCAGATCGTGGCCTTGCTGAATCAGCCATTCCTCCACATCTCTCCATATTAAGTACTTTACCAGTCTAAGCATCTATTTGACCCATACTGCCCTGGTCTAAAACAGTCCTCAAGTTGCAGTGACACAGTGAGACTGCTGCGCCTCTGGAGTTCAAGGAGATTTGTCTCTCACCTCCTACGAGTTACATGGTAGCTTCCCGATTTTGGTGGGTGGGAATGCTGGTGTCCCACACAGTCCTCTTCTTCCCGTGACGGTGTGTGTGTTCATCTTGCCTGCAGGGCTGGGATCCTCGCTACCAAGCCAGGAGGAGAGGTGGTGTATTCTACGTGCTCCCTCTCCCCGCTGCAGAATGAGTATGTGATCGAGAGAGCGGTAGAAATTGCAGAAACCCAGTTTAACATCAGTATCCACGTTGAGGACTTGAGCTACTTTCGGATGCTCTTCCAGGACACGTTTTCCTTCTTCTCGGGTTGCCGGCTGGGGGAGCTTGTTCTGCCTCACCTCACAGCCAACTTTGGACCTATGTATTTCTGCAAATTACGTCGGATGTAGAAGGGGCAACAGACTATGTCTGCCGGCTATCAGGAAATAGCCCAAAATTTCCAGGGAAAGCAAAACTGCTTTATATTTATTTTTCTTTTTAAAATGTCCCAAAGGAAGTCTGCTTTTTTAATGCAGATGTAGAGAATAAATGAGAAAGACCTGCTGTGGAGTCTCCTGAATATTTATCTGTTTGAGACTGAGGTGTTTAATCTAGGAAAGAGAGAGGTCTTATCAGAGGGAGTGATTTATCCATCCGTCTCGGAACGGGGTAAATAGCCCTATGTGGATGCTGCTCTCTCCCTCCTGTCTGACTGTTTTGATCCTACATGAGCAGGTTTGGGTTAACAAAAACCACCTGGGGATCTCAGCCTTTCTGTCCCAGATCTCACCATCTGCATAATCGAGTTGCATCTGTCTCTGCTTATCTCCTACCTTCAGAAAGAGCAGCCTGAGGTCCCGAAATAAGAGGTACTTAAGGATGCCCCTGCTGTGAGGTTAGAAATGTGCTTGGGATGCTCGAGATCTGGTGGTGGAAAGAGCTTCGTGCTGTGGAAAGGCCAGTGACTGTTGCCATCCCTCACGGACAGGAAAGCTGTGGTTGAGAGGGAAGGTGTGAATGCTCCCATGCTAGATGCCATTTAATGTCCAGTGGGAAGGTGTTTGTATGATTTTGAGTAATAACTGTGCATTCATATAATCATAGTCATCAGCGAAGGATTACTGGAGTTTATGATAAGAATTGCTTAATAGCGACATTTTTATTTTTGTGAGCAAAATACAGCGATGGGGAGGGTAGACATGGCTGTATTCCTTACAGGGCAGCCCATAGTTGTTACTCCAGTGCCAGCAAGAAAATACTATTGAGCTTTTGTAATCCTTTTCTCTCAGCATCACCCTGCTTCTGCAAGAGGCAGCATAGATGAAAATGAGGGTGAACCCCCATCCATGTCCATCCTTCCAGGAAGGTGCAGTTCATAGGTTTATCATCATTTGAACCCAGCTTAAGCCAGTCCTGCCCTCTGCATGGCATCTTGGTTCCTTACAGGATCCGTGCTTATTGGCAAGGAGGGGGGTCGGGAAACGGCTTTTCCTTTCTCCTTCCCTCCTCACTGTAATCTCTGCACTGCCGATTGCAAAAGAGAAGTCATGCAGCGCTGTCCCTTTCGCCTCGCCTCTGGCCCTGTGGGTGTGGGACCGTGGAGGCTATGCCGCTCTCTTCTCATGACTGAGGGTCTCCACCTCCTTCATCAACCGGAGGCACAGCTCCTCCCGCCACGGCAAGGCTACGCACTGCACAGCCACGGGCAGCCCCACGGCTCCTGCCACAGCCTGCAGCGGGGGCACAAGTGGTGAGGGGTTACATGGGGGGCTCAGACCTCCAGCAGCTTTTGGAAACTTGGTTTAGGCACGTGGCTCGTCCCAGAGAGTGGGGAGGTTGGAGGCTGAGCCCTGCCACACAAGCAGCGTTAGCATGTTGGGGCACATTCTCGTGATAGAAATGGTTGCCAAATCTTGGGCAGCGTGTTTAAGGCACCCCCACCCCCCAGCCAGCTCTGCTTTGAGCTGTCTTGCAGCCAGATCCCTTTTACTTCAGCATCCCCATTCCTGATCCATGCTCCGCTGACAGCCTGGGCCTGGTGAAGGCGTCACGGAGCAGGAGGAAAGTGCAGTGCAGTGCTGTGGGCTGTGGCTGTCACAAGGACCTACTCAAAGAAGCCTTGCCGCATGGCTCCTTTCTGGTTTCAGCCTATAATCCAGCCTGGGGGTGCTCCCCCAGTTCCCCCAAAGCTTAGTGACATGTTTTTTGGGGCTTGGGAGAAAGGGGATTTGCAAGGGGTATATAAAGAAGAGGTGATTTTTTTTGCACTGTGCCTGTATTGATGGAGACATTTAGGAGCCCCTGATTTCAGTGAAACTATGACTTGAACATCCATCAGCAGTCTCTGCTCCACCACTTCCCATGTTGCATACCTGTTTCAGCGTCCGGTCCCAGGGGTCATCACACCATCCTTGGTAAAGCTTTAGGTCTTCCTCATCCGCTTCTGTCACCGTGCTGACAGGTACAACCCCAGCGGGGAAGTTCAAGACATTGTACAGCATCGTGGAGGAGATGGCAGCTAAGAGAAGCAGAAGAGAGAATGCAGGTAGTCACAGCCTCCTGTCTTCCTTCAAACTTACACATTACATGTTCACTGAAGCCCCTGAGAACCAGCCGCTGCTGGGAGGAGAGATTGCACAGGGCTGGTCATCTGCAGGTCCAAGTTCTACTGCAAGAAACAACTGCCATCAGATCACTTCATCCATGTGTCTGTCTCCATCTGCTCAGATAGCTCTATGGTAATTATTTTTCCTTCCTAATGCCCATAAAATGCTTCGGTGGGCGGTGAAGCTCCATGGTAATGGACGTTTCTGTCCGGTGTCAACCACTGTGGCCCTTTGCCCTCCTGGGAAGGTCCCAGACTCACTTACTGAGGAGTTTCCCAGGGTATCCCGTGGTGAAGGCAGGCCCCAGGACAGGGCACAGCACAACGTCCAGCCGGAGTTCCCTCCACCGGGCAATGAACTCGGTGCGGTATGCCTTGGGGAGGAGAGGGGAGATGACATGGAGGCCGCATCCATGCCTGGAGCATCTCGGCTTCTCCAAGTTATGCACCAGGCTCTGGCATGGCCAAGGAGGCAGCAGCAGGCAGTGGTGCTCGAGGGAAGAGGCAGGGGAGCGCGTAAGTGTCTGTCTCCACAGCACCTGGCCAGACTGTGGCCAGGAATTGGAAAGGTCCCTCTTTAGCCGTCCCCACTCCCAGGACAGCCTTCATTGTGCTGGGACCGTCAAATGTGGGCATTTGGGCATCAACCAATAAAGTCCTGGCTGGATTGACCCAAAAGCCCATCTACCCCATTCCTGTCTCTCTTTTGTGCCTTTCCCTCCATCTTGTCTCCTCCCCAGCACTCCCCTGCACAACCCCTTTCCTAACTGATGACCCTCCCGACCTGGCACTTGCCATAAAGCCTCAGCTTGTAGCATGATGCCAGAGAGAAAAGTCCTCAAAACATACCTCTATTTGATGGTGATGATTCCACATCTCCTTCACTGATCTGCAAGTGGAAATTGTAGCAACATTTTTAAGCTTTAAGAGGAGGAGGAATTGCTTAAACAATCCTCCAGGTTGATAAGCCCTGGTGATTACTTTAGACAAATTCTGAAAGATGTGTTGTTTTAAGTTTCCTTTGGCATTTGGCCAAGCAATTAAGCAACAAATGTCTGGAAGTGGTAGAGAGAAGGTTTCTCTTGTGAGCCTGGGTCTAGTACTGATCTCTGCCACAGGCTTCCTGTATGACCTTATCCATCCAAGTCCCTCAATCCTTTCAGGATAACACTAGGGGCAGTGCAACACTGGGGAGATGTGTTCCTAAAGGCTGAAGCCATGTCCAGGGTGGAGGGACAGCCCCTGCAGAGAGCAGGTCAGAGCCTGTTGTGAATCCAGTCCCCCCACCATGGACACTTAGAGGAGCAGGTACCGTTCATTTTCATGGACATCCCTGGGGACGATGCCATCTTACCTCATTCCACCCAAGGCGCTCAGATAGTCAGCCAGGCGGGGAAACTGGAAAGGCAAGAGGTTCCTGTTAGGGACAAGACATGGGGGTGCGGTAACTTGTGTCATCCCGGGAAACCCCCGGTCCCGTCCTGCCTCCGTCCCTGGGGATGCTGCACTGAGGGTGAATGATGATGATTAAAAATGCTCCTCATGGTTCTGATTTAACTTTGCTTCCACCTTCTGGTTGTTGGTTCCCAATTTGTTTCTTACAGCCCAATATTTCCTGCTCACAGAGGAATGCACTGACTTGAACCAAGTCGCCTTTCATTATTTTTGTTAAATCAAACATTTTTTAGCTTGGTATCTCACAGAAACAAGACCTCTACAAGCACTTTGATTGCCTCCCACTCACTGCTACCTTTTTGATCCTGTCAGCTGAGAACAGCCCAACTGGACAGAGAGGCAGGAAAATGGAGGATGGAGGAGAGAAGCCCTACAAATCATGCTCACCTGGTGAAAGGGCTATAGTGAGGACCAGCCCTTATTAATCACCAGGAATCCCCATGAAGATGTGATCTTTGGGAGGCCTCCAACACAGGGACAGAGCTTCGAACTTGAGTCCCCTGGTGCAGTAATCCCAACACAGGAACCTGTAGGAAACTGGGCACCACTAGGTCTAGCATTTGAAGAACGACTTGCTGTGGGCTCTGCGTTAGTCTTTTACAGCTCTTGGCTAGTCCTTCTCTCATTTCCCTTTGCACTGGATAAATCCCAGCAAGGGTCTAGAAAAGACCTTCCAAAGTGATAGCATGTGCCTGGGCCTGAAATCCCAGTGTTTCTATTTAAAAAGAATAGAATGCCTCTCAGTACCATCACGCTTTCAAGCATCTCAAGCCCTTGCTGACACCACTCTGCTTTGAGCCTGAGGCCAGGGACTTACCAGAGGTTTAAGAATCAGAGCCAGCAGCTTCTTCCCCAGACTCGGGATCTTGCAGCAATTCACCTGTGATTTCAAGCTTGGATCTACAATATCTCCTGTGCTGAGAGATGACAAGAGGAGGGGATCATGCCAGAGAAGCTGTTTGCCCTTTCTCAGAAACCTGAGTATCTCCTGTTTGGGGTGGGAGAAGTGGTCTCGTTTTGCCTGTGTGTTGTGCTCATGCTCATGGGCGTGGGGATGGAGGTGTTTTACAGCACTGCTGCCAGAAGGCTCCTACTTACAACACGTCCAACCAAGCACGGCCTCCATCAGCAAAAAAGGTCTTCAAAAACAGTTCAGTCATGACATAGTGGATCCGAGGTGGAGAAAAGGGCACCAGCTGCACCAAAACACAAGATTATGTGGCAGCCTAGGGATGTGAATAATTTCCAAGGTCTGACTGTGGATGTACTTCAAAGGCAGAGCAGCATCTCCCTGGGCTCCACACACCAACGGAGGCCCCGGTTCAATGCTTTACAAGCCCAGGCACCTCCCCGTGGGTTTATTCCTCCCTAACGGCCCTTTGGCTCAGCTCTGAGATCTCTCCAGAGCTTTTTTCTCCTCCATCCTGCTCCAGGCAGTGACTGGCAGAGCCAGAAACTGCACCAGTTTCCCACCCGTCCCAGCAGAATTGACACCTGCTCAGACATGGACTCACTTTGCTATGAAGAGCACCACTAGCATGTTTCCACAGGGAGAGAAAGGTGTTTCCCATCCCATGTCTCACAGTCCTTTTCCCTCAGTGGTCCAGGAAGGACAGAAGTCTCCATGGACATTGGGAAGGAAGAGGAAAAACACCTCTCAGAGCCCTGCTGGGGAACAGCAGACCTAGAAAATGCCGGGGCAACCTTCCAGAGTCAAATGCAGCACTTTATGGATGCTGTCGTCTGGTGTGGACCACAGCCACTTGATTAGAGATGGATTCGTTATACCCCTGGCCCCTTGGAGGTACAAGCTCACTAATTGCTAGTGCTGTTTCCCCATGAGATGCACTGCTACCCCGGGTAGGCATGTGCCTGCATTGTGTTACATGGCTGTAGTAACTTAATCCTGTACCTCTGGTAGGTCATTTATCCCACTGCTGGGCTTGGGGGCTATGTCTGGTCTCTGAAGGGTGATTTCAGCAGTGAGGAGCAAAGCTGGGGACACCTTGGGGAGAAGAGCGTGGGGTGGTTGTGCTCACCTGGTGCCCGGCTGCCTGCAGAGCCCCCCTGGTTTCCCACACCACCCGCCGCATGCAAGGGGGCAGTGGGAAGTAGCCGTCTGTGTCGTAGTACCCGACCCGCAGGGGAGCAGAGCTGGAGTACACCTGGAGCAAAGAGCCACCAGTTAAGCATTTCCAACCCTGCTGGGGGTAGGACCGCCCCCATGCTGAAGCCCACTGCAGAAGGGGATAAAAGCTCCAGATGTTAGGGAGTAACTAATTTTCTGGTTTGCTGCTTATACGTCTACCCTCGCCTTTTTCTCCAGCCTCCTCTTCATCCCTCCCTTCAAATAGAGCACAGCCACTCAAGACCAGTAGATTCAACCATTGCTACAAAGGATGGAGGTGGAAAAACTGAAATTCTTCTGCTGCAGAGAGAAAGGAAATGTCCTCAGTCAAGAGATTTGCTGCAGGAGTTTCCAATCCTGTCTCATCTTCCCCTAAAAATCTCCAGCTTTTTGTTCCGGGTGTTGCCTTCCTCCCCATGCTTTTCTGGTGTCTCTCAATCTGATAAAACACACGCCAACTGAGAAGGCAGAAAGGACAACTACTTATTAACCTGTTTTTTTCTAATAATTATGAACTGTGCTCTCAAAAAGAGCTAACAAGTTACTGGAAACCAGTACTGTAAAGATAACTGGACCCTTAAAGAATGCATACATTGAGTGTGCAGCACCCTCAAAAGAACTGGGGCTTGCTGACTTAAGGACTCACCTCCTCATCGAAGGGGATGGGGGGCACGGTGGGGTCCAGCTGGAACATATCCTGGCAGAGCAGCGCCTTCATGCACAGGGCCAGGCTGTCCACGTCCCTCGCCATCGGCCCCAGCGTGCAAGGAACTGGAGTGGGACGAGAGCAAACGTGCACATTAAGCAAATGGGTGTGCCAAACACTGGTCCACCCCTCTGCACGGCCACGTTGGCTGCAAGGGATGGTCAGGCAATGAGGTGGGATGTTTCAGATGGACTCCGGACAGATCTTGGTTGTCTCCTCAGGCCTGGAGGAGGACATAAGACTGTTCACAGCATATAGAGAAAAGCAATTAAAAATTCATGTACCTGCCAGGATCCCACTGACTGGGCTACTCACTCCAGACAGGCTGTGGGAAAAGACAGAGAAGTATATTGTCATTTCAGTAATGGTGAGATAGTCCCAAAACGTTTGAATAGCATAGTGGGGTCTTCAGTTCAGGACCCGAACCAGAAGGAAATTATTAAAAGTATTTGATTTGAGTCATGTGAAACAGAAAATTTTAGTCAAAATGAAAAAAAAAAAAACCTAAACTCCAACAAATCTTAGTTTTGGTTTAACCAAAAATGCTCCATTTTGGCATTATTTAAACATTTTAGCCCCCCTTTCCTTTTAACTCCAGGCCAGACTTACAATGAAACATGGCCATTTCCCCACAAAACTTAACAACGTTGCCTCTTGGGAGAGGTTTTGAGCAAAGCAAGCCAGCCTTAAGAAACTGTCCTCTCTTTTCCCGCCAAGTACTCACTGAGTACCTTGCCCCTTCTGCTGAGTTTGACAATTAGCAGGCTCCTTGCAGGGTGGGAAGGGCAGACCCCAGAACCTACCTGAGCCTTTCGGCCGTGGGTTTGAGCCCGCACAGCCCGCAGAAGCTAGATGGCAGGCGGATGCTGCCACCGATGTCTGAGCCGATGCCCAGGATGGAGCCTCCCCCTGCGATCAGAGCTCCCTCCCCTCCTGAGGAGCCCCCGGGGCTCTTCTGGTGGTTGAAGGGGTTCAAGGTCTGGCCGAAGATGGGATTGCTGCAGTCATAGCTGGGGAGAAGAAAACCAGCAAGCGGGCTGTCAGGAACAGCCTAATGCCTTAAGTTTGTAGGCTCTACCTTGCAGTGAGCTTATGTGGCATAGCCAACCCCATCCTTCCATCCTGTAAATCCGTCGGGACATGGTTTATTCCCATAAGCCTCCGCTCTCCCTCCCAAGCACAAGTGCACTTGATTTCTCTTATGTCATGGTAGGCTTTTTTCCTCTTAATCTTATCTGAAAGCTATTTTCAGTTGAACTGAGATTGTTGGCAGGTGATGGAAGGGGGACTCGTCCAGGCAACACCTCAGGAGACAGGAAGGAGCCTGTCCCAGGACCTACAGGCTGGGTTTTAGCTTCAGAAGCACAAGCAGAGGAAAGATTTCTAATGATGTATGTTACTTGAAGAGGGATTGCGGCACGTTGGTCATTGCAAATGGGATGGCCCCCTGTCTCTTCAAAACCTTGACTAGGACACTGTCTTCCTGCACCAGAGTGCCCAGGTGTTGCACAAGCCCACAGGTCGACAGATGCCCCTGCAGAGAGAAGTGACAACAGACACAGTCAGCGCAGTTCCCCTGCAATTTTGGAAGGACGATCTGGTGTCCCCTTTGCGGGGGGGTGGGCGGGTGTGTACTAACCAACTCCCTTGCAAGCCCTTGCATGAAGGACCAAGGACTTCCTCTCCTTTCATCCTTGGCAGAGGGCTGCCAAGCACTTACAGGGTTAAGGCTTCTCCTGAAGCTGTTCTTGCTCTTTTCCATGCTATTTCTCTCCCCTGACCCAGATGCAACTCCATAGGTGCACTAGCTCAGGATCAAACCCAGTGTCCTGCTGTCCAAGTGAAGCCACCAGTGGATATTCAGGGAGGGAATATACATCCCAGGCAAACACAGTGTGATCCTTTTCCAGTTAGTCTTGATGTTTGGGGCTTGCTTTGGGCTTAGAGCCCTCTTAACTGTGTTGGTAAGTCAACATGGAGGAGACTGCCTAACAAATTCAGCTCAGGAGTGTGTGGTCAGTCCTCATCAGGGCTTGTCTGTGAGGGGGTCCCTGGTGTGTCTCATGCACAGGCTCTTTGCTAAGGGGCTCAGTGGCCAGGCTACAGCACAACAGGGATTCGAGGTTAACGGTTCCTGCTACTAATGACTTTCTAGAAGCTGAGCCATGTTCTTATCCCTGATACTGCAAACCTCTGAGTCCCCTGCAGTTTTGGAAGGACGATCTGGTGTCCGCGGGGGGGTGGGCGGGTGTGTACTAACCAACTCCCTTGCAAGCCCTTGCATGAAGGACCAAGGACTTCCTCTCCTTTCATCCTTGGCAGAGGGCTGCCAAGCACTTACAGGGTTAAGGCTTCTCCTGAAGCTGTTCTTGCTCTTTTCCATGCTATTTCTCTCCCCTGACCCAGATGCAACTCCATAGGTGCACTAGCTCGCGGGGGGGTGGGCGGGTGTGTACTAACCAACTCCCTTGCAAGCCCTTGCATGAAGGACCAAGGACTTCCTCTCCTTTCATCCTTGGCAGAGGGCTGCCAAGCACTTACAGGGTTAAGGCTTCTCCTGAAGCTGTTCTTGCTCTTTTCCATGCTATTTCTCTCCCCTGACCCAGATGCAACTCCATAGGTGCACTAGCTCAGGATCAAACCCAGTGTCCTGCTGTCCAAGTGAAGCCACCAGTGGATGTTCAGGGAGGGAATATACATCCCAGGCAAACACAGTGTGATCCTTTTCCAGTTAGTCTTGATGTTTGGGGCTTGCTTTGGGCTTAGAGCCCTCTTAACTGTGTTGGTAAGTCAACATGGAGGAGACTGCCTAACAAATTCAGCTCAGGAGTGTGTGGTCAGTCCTCATCAGGGCTTGTCTGTGAGGGGGTCCCTGGTGTGTCTCATGCACAGGCTCTTTGCTAAGGGGCTCAGTGGCCAGGCTACAGCACAACAGGGATTCGAGGTTAACGGTTCCTGCTACTAATGACTTTCTAGAAGCTGAGCCATGTTCTTATCCCTGATACTGCAAACCTCTGAGTAGAAGTCTGAGTTATGGCCCAAACGACCATGTAGCCTAGCCTGTGCTGTCTCATGTATCAGAGAAGAAATCATCTGGGTGTATAACTATTCACCCCTTGTTTTTTTGCTGATGAAGGCTTCTAACTGCCAGGGTTGCAGCTGCAATGAGATGTGGGGCCACAGGCTCAGACTCAGACAGGCTTCCTGTGGTGTAAGCAGGGAGGGATCGGGCCCCTTCCCCATTCTGTGTCCCACCACTTCACCACCCAGCCCAGCTCACGATGGGACACTTCACCGGCACAAAGGGAAGCACCTTGTGGCCAATGTGATCCTTGATGCTGACAGGGATGCCATAGAGCAGCCCTTTCTCCCTTTGCCGTTGTATTTCCTGGAGCTGCTCCTCACACTCTGGGATAAAATGTCGCAAGCAGTTTGTCTGCTGGGTCACTTCCAGGGCCTTTGCCGGACATGTGGAGGAACAGGTGTTAGTTAAGAACAGCATTGTTACACAGCTGCATTCAGTAGCTACCTGGATCTTCAAAACAAGGGCTAGTGGCTTGGCATGAATGGTAACCCCCTCCCCAGAGCATCCCAGCTCAAGCCATCTCAAAGGACTGTCCAGCGATGGGTCTGACCCAGGAGACAGAGAGACCCCTCCCTTTTCATATCTTTCTCCTGATATCTGCTATATTAAAGACTCGTCATAAGACTCCAACAAGTCTTCTCAGCCACCAGCCCACACACCATGGCATGGAGAACATAAGTGATTTGCCCATCACACTGTGGACAGGCACTCACCTTCTCTAAGTAGGTGTAGAGGACAGTCTTAGGGGACAGAGACCCTTCCTGCAGTCTCCCAGTGAGTTCCAGCAGGGGCAGGGACAGGATGGTGTCCTTCTGGACACTGGAGACCTGCAAGGGGAAGATGAAGGGGATGCCAGGACAGCAGCTCCAGTTACCCTTTGGCTCAGAGGGGATAAGTCTCAAGTTTTGCCAATGTTATCAACAGAGCTTGCTGGAAAGGCAGACCCTGCATGTGAGGGTTCAGACCTTGAGCTGCTGAGTATTTCATCATGAGTTTGGATGTCATGAACGTGGCGCAAACACAGGAGCTCAGCTGTCTCTGAAGGTGTAGAAGAGCTTCATCCATCCACTGCAGCAGAGGACAATGCAATGCCTCACATCAGAGCCTTCCTCCTGGCACTGGGGGGCTTACCCACTGACCAAGAGGTAATCTCAGCTGAGCAAACACCAGCCTGGGCAGAAGGTACCAAAGTCCTTGAACACAGGTCTCAGGCTGGCCCTTCATCCCTCAGAATGGGTACAGGCAGTGTGGGTCAGCCTGGTCTGAGGACAAACATCTAATAGCTGAAGTCCAGCAAACTGCAAAGAAATCAGTAGGGACTCACAGGTGGGTAAGGTCTACTCAGGTGAACTGGCAGTTCTCAGTGCCACCAGCATTTTTTAAGGTTTTATATCACACTTATAGATATATGTATTTAAGAAAAAAGGTTGTAAAGATATGTACCACTTGTAGCTGGTATGCTTTATCTCCAGGTACGTTACCTGTGTAAACATGAGCTGATTTAACCAGTACCTACTCAGAAGCGAATGGAGCAGGAAGGAAAGGTGGTTAGAAATCAGTGTTGCAGTAGGAATTCAGGGCCACTGGTGCCTGCCTCATTCATCCCCATGTTGTGTCCCGGTTGCTCCCAGGGGATGCTGAATGCCCTGTGCTTCATTAGTGTTAAGTTAGGCCAAGCATCTTCTGGGCAGCCTGCTGGGCTGGGAGGTCTCACTTGCTGGGAACCCTAGTGAAAACTCTTTTGAAGACTCTCCAAGAGCCATCCAGAAGCCAGGTTTGAGAGACAAAGACATAGGGGTGTGGACAGATGTGTAAACTTAGAGTTAGGAAGAGGAAAAAGCTTTCTTGCTTCTACCCATAGAGGCAAGAGACATTTCTAGATCCCAAAAGAACTGGGTTTTGGATCAATGAAGGTCCAGTGCTTCACCACCTGTGTTGTCCAAAACCTCTTCCCAGTGAGTAATTCACATCTCCCTGGCTATAGACTCCCACAGCATCTCATCCAGCTTGAGGAGAGCAGTGATCTCCCTTCCTCCCAAGGCAGCCTTTCCTCTTGTTGAGGGCTACTGGCACATCTCCCCTGGGCTCCTCGTTATAAAAGCTACGGAGGCATGAACTGGAAGGAGGAGCTGAAGAACAACATCAGCAGACACACTGGTGGGACTCAGACCCCCCAGAAGGACAGGTTACCTGCTCCCTGAACTGCTGGACAGCCTTTGCCATTTTCTTCACACCCTCATCCCGGGTGCTCCGAGCCTCTTCCATTTTCTTCTGGATCTGCCTTTTGCCCAGCCATTTCCAGACCACCACAGCTGCCGCCGAGCCACAGAGCAGGGCGAGGGCAGCAGAAGGATCCACCTCCTTCTCTGGCAGGAGCTGTCTCAGCTGTTGCTGGACCATAACGTGGCTTTCTGGTCTCTGGGGATGGAGTGAGAAAGAAAAGCAAGGCAGGAGCAGGAGACCTTCCCTGCCTCCCCAGGCCTGTCCCTCCTCCCAGCACCACTGCCTCAGGTCAGCAAATAGTTTGTAAGTCCAAAGCTGACCTCTGCAAAGCTGCCTTCAGTGGAGCGTGCAGCGGAGAATGATTGACCAGGAAATGGAAAAGGTGAAGTTTGGCCAGTGAACCTTGGGGTGTCGGGTTTATAGGGGCTTTCTGGACTGCGGGAAGTTCTCCACTGGGGAGGAAGGGCTGTGGGATCTGCTGAACAAAAGAAGCAAGGAAATAGCTGCTCTCCTATTTCCTGTGTAGCCTGAGAGGACAATGGGAGAAGGGGAAAAAACAGCTTGAAATCACAAGACTTCCCTGCACAGGGACTGGGAATGGTATGACGAGAGGATGCACAGCTGTGGGGTACCCACTTGCTCACCAAATCCCTTAGCCTATGCTGCTCCCATGGTGGCCAGAGGCTGTTTCAGGAGGCCTGTGGGGTAGGGCTCAGCACTGCCATGATGTCTGCATGCACCAGAAGGAGAGGCTGTTCCACCCCATGACAGAGCTCGCTGATACTGCCTTAGGAGTGGAAAATCCCACAGGGTTGCAGGCCAGAAGCAAACTATTTCCAACAGACATTGGGACAGCTAGCGTCTGAGGTCTTTCCAGCACAGATGCCTCTCACTACAAGCACACAAGAACCATGCACTGAGCTGAAGGCAACAACCCAGCCAACATCAGCCCCAAAACAAATGCTATGGTCTGTCTGTGATCTTCTCTGCTGGTTTTGGATGGTGGGTCCTCCTACAGGTCCCACCTTGAAAAAGGTTTTTGGGCAGCTAGATTGCACATTACAAAATTTTGCAGGGTTACACTTGATGGCCAGAGGCCCAGAGCCTGATCCTGCTCCAACAGAATGTGGAACTGGATATGGAAAGGAAGGTGAAGAGCCTTCTCCCATTAGGGCTGGGTAGTCCTCTAATGCTTGATTTTTCATTCATTGTCATGTCCATTCTTAGCAGTTATAAGAGTTCACTGTTGTTTTCTGAAACAGTTTGTGTCAGCAGGGAATGTTCTTCTCTTTGTTCTTAACTGGGGAAATTTATGAAGGACTCTGAATAAAATTGGCTTTGGCGTCCTCTAAGAAACAGTCTGGAGCTGACAGCAGTTAGCTACGTGGTAACAAATTAAGCTGGCCTTTTACTGTGTTCCCTTTCAGTGGCACCCTTGCTCAGAGGATGCCTCCTCAGCTAAGGCACTGCTGGTTTTACGAGAGCAGCGGCACGGGGACAGGCCTGCAGCCCATCCAGCTCCTGCTCCTGCCCCATGGTGCCGGCTGCAGCAGGTGCCTCCGGAAGGCGCATGTGAACAGGGTCAGCACACAGCAATACCCAGCCCTCTCCCAGCCTGCGGGAATCCGTGCAAGGGCTTCCCGAGGCAGAGGTGGGCTCTTTGCCTATGTGACAGCAACATAACCTCTATGATGGGCTGAGCAGATGTGGGAGGTTTTTTACCCTGTGCTGGGAAGTGTCAGGGCATTGGCTTCCCCCATCCGCTTGCGCACTAGGACCTGTGCTCCGATCCTGCCCTTTAGATGCTCGGCAAATGTTTAACGGAAACAGAGCCATCTGTGTCCGGACTGACTGCCCTTTGAAAAAGGGCAGGTTGTATCAGCAGACGCAGCTGCATTTCCAGGTGGCCGGATGCTGCTGAGGAAGCCCCTTTCCCCATCAATGTGCGAGCATCTCCACCTCCTTCATGAACCGGAGGTATGGCTCCTCCTGCCACTGCAAGGCCACACACAGCATGGCCACGGGCAGCCCCCATGGCTCCTACCACAGCCTGCAGCAGGGACACAGGCAGTGGGGAGTGACTGGAGGGAGTGAAGGTTGAATCCGCCCTCAGGACTGGGATGGTTTCAAAATCCAAGCCTGTTTTGCACCCTCCAAGTAGATCTGCTGAGGCACTCCAAGAGCCATATGAAATTAAAATAGTCCCTGCCACAGAGGGGAGCAGCTGCACGGAGGTGGATGGGCTGGGTCACAGTGGGTGGCTTTATGTGGACCCACATCTAGGCAAAAGGGAGCAAGGGGTGCTTGAGAGAAAAGTCTGCTGAGAAAGAGACCACTGTCCCCACGGGGAAACCGAGGCAGGGAAGCAAAGGGATGTCCCAAGTCAAATCTCAAGTCCATAGCAGAGGAGACAGACCTGCCTGACTCATGGGTCAGTGTTCACTCCTCCACATTGCACTGGTGCGCACTAAACAGCCAAGGCCAAGTGCAACAATTTTGCAATGTTTTTCTCACCTGAATTGATCCAGATCCAAGGTCAAACTTACCAGTGGAGTTAAGATGAAAGCCAAGACCCTTTTCACAAGAAGAGTCAGCCCGTAGCAGCTGGTCTGGGATTTCATTGTGGCATCCATGACATCTCCTTCATTTTGGACCACCACAGAAAACAGGCAGTCAGACCAACTCAGACAGCCCACTCCTGTCCCCAGCAAGAGCTGCACCGTCTTTGCTTGCAAAAGCAAAACTGCTCTGACTTACTGCCATCACACTCCATCCAACACCTTCAGCTCTCAAGCAGGCTGGGTTTTGACAGAAATTTTCTATAACTAAACTGTCTTCCCTCTAAATTGGTAATAATTATTTTTAAGTCAGCTTTGACTCCATTTTGATTAAAATGACAAAGAATAAATCCTGACAATTGTATCTCATGTTCATGTTTTTGGAACCAAACACTCTGATGCACTTTTCCAAAACAATTTACAAAACGAGGTCTGTTAACTACACTGCTCTGAAAGAATTTTAAAGACATTTCACAAAATGCTGAAATCACAGTGAAATGGGCTGGTCCCCTCTGGAGAAGTTGTTCCAGTTGGCTCAGAGAGCTGAATAAATGTTTTCTGGGAACTCTCCAGTTTCTGACTCATTTCAGCCTGGAATACCTATTGGAAGCATGAGACTTTCCTCAATTCCAGTCCAACTCCACCAACACTCACAGAACATAACAGCTGCTAAGAAACTTGCCACTACTTAATCTGCACCTTTTCAACCACCAAGAACATCAGTTGAGAGGTGAGGGTTTGCTTCTATCAACCCTTTTTCGCGTTGCTCAGCCAGGACCCTGTTGGCTCTCCCTGAATAAACTGCAATAGGATGGGGAGAGAAACCTCCCATACCAACCCTCACACCTCTGACAGCAGGGGCTGCTTTCTCTCCTGACCGTCCCTACATCTTTCCTGCTTTTGTGGGTATTGCACTATCTTCCTTGGGCCTTTCCATAGCCAAGTGGGTTGTATGGATCCTACTTACAACTTCTCCAGCAAGGCAGACACCACCAGCAAAGATGCTGCAGAGAGCTGTTAGTTCTTCACCAGAAGTCCAGGAGCATTCCTATTTCTTCCATCATGCCTGGTGTCTTGCACACATCTGTCCCTACCGAGTGACAGCAGAGACTTCAGCACCCTGATGGTGAAGGACTGAGATGTTCCCAGCTGCTCCATGTCTGGGCACAAAGCTTACAGCAGAAGTTGGGCTTTTCACTGGTCTCACCATGGGCAAACAGGGCAGGAGGGAAGCCAGGTGATTTGAGTGCAAAGTAGGAGAACAGTAAGGGGGGGGGAGGGGGAGAAGAAAGAAAAAAAAAAAAAGAAAAGAGCAGATTGAGACCATGCTTGGAGAGATGAGGATTTGTGCAGCTAACAGCTGTTTCAGAGTGAAAGGTGTACCAAACCTAATTCCTGCATTTTTGTGTTTCAAGGGTGAGCCTTGCTATGTCAAGGTGTTTCATTTCACCTATTTTTTAAATATTTGCTTTTAGCTACTTCAACTACCTCCTCCCTTGAAACTTGTTTGAAATGAATGTCTGGGATCCTGGGGACGTTCATGTCTCTAATGCCCTCTGCCACTTTCTGTTACACCAGAGAGCTCTGTTTGCTTCGGATACTGTAAGAGGCCGACTGAGCTGTCCTAACAACTCATGTTCTGCTGATATCAGTTCTTCTAGAGAGTTTTATTTGCTCCTGATGTTGTGACTATACAAAGTCTAACCTGCAAACTAAAGAAAAAACCCTGCAAAATAAAGTAAAACCAAATAAAAAAGCTGGATTGTCTGATGACTCAACCTTTCAACCTTGCTCAGTTACTTATCTGGCCACAGAATGAAATATGGGTTGAGGAGAGCAGATTAAAATTCTTATTAAAATCAGGAGGAAGAAGGAAAGATCAAACCAAAGACCGCAGCCAGGATATTGTGCTGGAGATGAGAGAAACTAGTAGAAACAAAGCCCTTTTGGCCCAAGCAGCATTTCTACCTAATTCTCTGAGAGAGACCAAAGCCTGGACTTTGGTCAGCACCAGGCAGCTGGACAAGCACTCTGCAAACACACAGTGCAGGTCTGCAAGGGCTGCACAGCCTGAGCCAACAGCTTACGGTGAAGGAGCCACGGAAGGGTTCGAAACACAGCGGCACTGTGCTGGTGGGTGTGGGAAGGAGCTGACATCACCTCTCCAGCCTGGAGGAGGTCTGGAGGGAGAACTCTCCTGCAAACCTAAAGTTATGCCCTACTAAATGCCTCTCCCTCCTTGAGTTTCGGTGCCTGAGTTCACCAAACTGCTCTCACCATCACCCTCTCCACCTCCCCCCCCCCATTTATGCGGCAATGCCAACTGACATCATGGGCAACCTTCTTGAGAAGGACCCTGAATTTTACTCAGGAAGGTGCTTTGCTCTCTGCCAAGCTGAGGCACTTACCTGCTCTTTAAATTCCTGAACAGACCCCTACATCTGGTCCAAACCTGTATCTTGTTTCCCCCATGGCTCATCCATCTTCTTCTGCACATCTCTCCACCTCATCCACTTCAGTGTCAGGAGAGCTTTGGCTAAGCTGCAGACCAGGGCTGAGAGCACCCATGGACTCTGCTTCAGTATCTGCTGGATCATAGCGAGAACTTCCCTTTTGGTG